TCTCCCCCCCTCTCCCCCTCAATCCGTACCACTCTCTCCCCTTCCCTTTCTCTCAAAAGTCATCTCTCTCCCTCTCTCTCTCCCTCTCTCCCCCCTCTCTCTCCCCCTCTCTCCCCCTCAATCCATATCACTCTCACCTTCCCTTTCTCTCAAAAGTCATTTCTCTCCCTCTCTCTCTCAAAACCCACCTCTCTTTCTCATCCTTATCAAAGCCCATTTCTCTCTCGCCCTCTCAAAACGGCTCAAAAGGTGTGGAGTGAAATTTTACAACACAAATAATTAGGTTGGTCTAAAAAAATATTTTGAAGGGATATCATTCAATCCACTATTGTCCTTCCATACCTCTCTATCATGGAAAATGGTTAGATAATGGTCTCTATTTTGTATTATCTCTTCATCAACATCCTCTTACTCTCTTCATCAACATCCTCTTACTCTCATTTTTTATTTTTATTTTTATTTTTTATTTTTTATATTGCATATAGTTTACAATAAGGAAGAAAACTAATGAAACCATCTAGAGATCTTAAGAACAATGTCGTACGCATCTATTGGAGAGATATATCGAGAATTTGGATCATAGTTGAGGAGAAAATAAGAAAAACATGGTCATTACTGAACTTATAAGAAGCTTTTATTTATCGTTTTTGTAATTCATGATCGGGTTTTCCAATGATTGAGAATAATATTCCTTAGTGATTCATCGTTTTGCTAAATTTTGAATTCGAGACTAAACTATTAGACCCACTATACTCAATTGTAAATACTCTATGCTATTGTAATGAAACATATCATAGTATGAACTATTGATACTATTTTACTAAATATAAGAACCAAATAAATAATAATAATAAAAATGAGGAGAAAAATAACATTATTTTAGTTAAATTATGAGGACATATACTTTCAAAATTGTTCCAAACAAATTTATGTTAAATAAATCTTAAATCTTTTAAGATATATTATACACATTGCACATTTTGAAGTTCAAGAAACTATTACCCGCCAACATGAAAGAGAACTAACAAAATAATCTACTAAAATACGCTAGCCAATCCTTCACCGTACAAATAGGACGAGAACAATTTGACCGTACATAACTACATATTATAGCTTCGAACATGTTCTTCGACGTTCTTGATTCATGCTACGAAAAACCATTTTCAAACGAAAATGGAGACGATAATTAAGGAAATATATTCACAATATCTTGTTTTACCCTTCTCAAGCCAAATGCAGTCCCTTACTCACTCTTTATTATATCATCAAAGGCTTGTTTATGGCTAAGCCAACCACTCTAACTTGTACAAAGCTATTAGCTTTGGGTTGGTTGTATGGCTGTAGCCACCAGGCAAGCCTTTTTCTCCAAAAAAAAAAAGAGGAAGTAAAGGATAATTTAGTACTAAAGAAGTAAGATGGGATATATTAACTAAATAAACGGCCAACTTACTAGAGGTTCTTGAGGCTCTCGAGACTCTCGAGACTTCGGCTGTGAACCATGCACCTCCTACGATTTTGAAAATCCGTTTTCGACTATGAAAAGCTTGAAAAGTATTTTAAAAGTCATTCTAAACCACCCTACCACTAATCAACGGGCAATACCTGTTGTTGACCGTTCCTCTTCTTTTGTCCAGTTATCTAAATCTGCATCTCTCTCAGGTTTCTTGAAAGCTAAAATGGCCTCCCTGTCCAAGTTTGATCAGGTTGTTGAAGATTTGCTTGGTGTTTCTTCCCATTCAAATGAGCAACCATCACGCCTGCAGCATAAGCACCAACTTTGCACTTTTTACACCAAAACTTAAACTTCTTTTTCGCCGCAAGAAGGTCCTCAGTGGTAAAGTTTTGCCCAAACACAGCCTGGTTCTGTTGCAAATTCACAAGGTTCTGCAGGTTCTGGTTCTGTTGCAAATTCACAAGGTTCTGCAGGTTCTGGTTCTGTTGCGAATTCAAAAGGTTCTGCGGGTTCTGATTCTGTTGCGAATTCAAAAGGTTCTGCAAGTTCTGTTGCGTATTATCCTCGTTTTCGCCTGATTTCAAAAGGTTCTGCACGTTCTGTTCCTCATCCTCCTCTTCGTCACCCGATTCCAGAATGCTTTGCAGGTTTTGTTGCTTATTATCATCCTCTATTTCACCTGGATTCAGAAAGTTCTGCAGGTTAGGGTTATGCAGGCTCTGTTGATTATTATCCTCCCTGTCATCTGATTTCGGAAAGTTCTGCAGGTTCGGGTTATGCAGGATCTGTTGTTTATTATCCTCCCCATCATCTGATTTTGGAAAGTTCTGCAGGTTCGAGTTATGCAGGCTCTGTTGATTATTATCCTCCCTGTCATCTGATTTCGGAAAGTTCTGCAGGTTTGGGTTATGCACGCTCTGTTGCTTATTATTCTCACCATCATCTGATTTCGGAAAGTTCTGCAGGTTCGGTTGCTTATTATCCTCCATGTCATCTGATTTAAGAAAGTTCTGCAGGTTTTGGTTCTGGTTCTGCAGGTTCTCTTGCTTATCATCCTCTTTCTCACCTGATTTCAGAAGGTTCTCCAGGTTATTGTTCTGGTTCTGCTGGTTCTGTTGCTCATTATCCTCTTTGTCACCTGATTCCAGAAAGTTTGGAATTAATGCGTTCGTGACAAAACTACCTTCCGTTTTCTCACCTTGAAGAGTTTCTCCATCTTTCGACTCCTTTAGTTCGATTGCACCTGCAGAGCCAAACGTCTTCTCGAGCTTCATCCTTTTGTAAGATAATGGCTCGGGTGGTGCAGCCTGGAAAAGTTTGCTTGCATTTTGAGCCCTCAGACCAGCTTCTCTGCGCTTGTGCTTCTTGCCATGAAGGTGTTCATTAAAAACCTTTTCGTTTGTCACGGTAACTTGACACAGTGCACAACTCAACTCGCCCTTTGGAGTCTTCTTCATATAAGATGATTGGACGTTGTCGGAAGACGTTGATGCCATCTCAGCCTTTCTCTTTTCTCTGAATACATTTGGGTCGGGTTTTTCCTGCAGCAACATTCTCAAATCCATAGGAATGAACTCTTCTAATTTTGGACCATGTTTGAATTGATTTTCTAAATACTTAAGAACTTCTTTTCCTTGCACTTGAAAGAATATATTTTTAAACACTTCGTGCTTAAAAATACATTTTTCAGGTCTAGAAACAAGTTTTAAGTACTTAAAAAGTCATTCCAAGCATGCCCCTAATCCTTCTTAAGTTGTATTTATAAGGTGAAAGAAAATGAATATAGTTCTAACATGACTTTACAATATCATGAAATGAAGAACTAGAAAGATAGATTCAGCACATCACACACATGAACACTTCTTACAAAGGGCATTTGTTTTGTATGAACCGCAAAATTTCACCGAAATTAAGACATCAAAATCAGATTGCAAACCATTTGACATGAAGGAAGTTAGTTCACCTACAAAAAGATGTGTAATATCTTTCTAATTCGTAAATAATGCCATTATTTGAATTGTGATTGCCTAGAATTCCAACCATGTTTGATAATACAAAACTGATCATCAATCATACCTATATATTAGTACACAAGCGAATGGAAAACTACCTTTTTGTCCTAGTAAATTTAAATAAAAGTTCACATAAATATTTCTACAAGTTTGATTACTTATCTTCCAATATTACAGCCTGTTTTACCCAAAATTGGCAACCTTTAGAATCTAAATTGTCTGCTAGTTTTTACTAAATTGTTTAATCATATGATAACTAAAATTTGAGATACATATATATTTAGTCAGAATAAGTTCTTGAACCTTCAATTTTGTGTCTAATAAGTCATTAAAGCTTAATAAATGACTTGTAGATACTTAAACTTGCAGTTTTGTGCTCAATAGATCCTTGAATTTTCAATTTTATGTCGAGTAGGTCTTTGACCTATTCATGAATCTGCTAGATTCAGAAAATTGAAAATGTAGAGTCTATTTTGCATAAAGTTTAGGTTTACATCTAATACATAAATTAATTATAAAAAGGTTTGAATATATCAAAAACATATTCAATACAAATTGAAAGTTTAGGGACCTATAGACATTTTATAAGCTCAAGACCTTATTAGACACAAAATTGAAAGCTTGGAGAGCTAATAAACACCAAATTGAAAGTACAAAGCCCTATTAAACACTTTTGAAAGTTTAGAAACTAAATATACACAAATCTTAAAATCTTAAAATACTATTAAAACACTATTTAAAAGATAAAAAGTAAACGTAGACAAAACTTCAAATCAAACTATCAAATTTAAGAGCAGTTTGGAGATTTATTTGGCAATCAGTATTAGTTTTGAAATTTTTGATTCAGTGATTGGTAAATTCAAGTGCTTGTGTGGATTGAAATCCTTGGTCACAAATTCGTGATTATGAAAAGAATAACCAAATAATTTTCTCTAAGAAAATTGGTCTTTTGGGAACACAACAAGAAAAAAAAAAAAAAAAAAAAAAAAAAAAAAAAAAAAAAAA